TCTACCTCTTAAGAATTTGAATGCTATATATTGTAACCAATGGATACCCGTTAGGTATAGGATACCCGATGGGTATGGGCATGGGTGTTAGTTTATACCCATGGGTATGGATGGATATAAAAGGTTTCTATGGGTATGGGTTTGGATAGAAGGAGGTTGTACCCGCCCATACCCTACCCATTGTCATTCCTATTTCACATACCCGATGTTGCATTTTACCCTTTGCACACTAACTTTCCATATGTGTGTTCTGATTTTGCAGACCCTTACAAAATAGAGAAATGTGCTACATAGATCACTGGGACATCGATCCCTAGAAACAGACCCTGGACCAAATAAAGAGATGGATGCATGTTGGTCTAATCTGTGTGAATCCCGATCGCACCAAGAGGCCTCAGATAACAGAGGTTATCAGTATGCTTGAAGAAGTAGAAAGTACTCTCTCCATCCTAAAATAAGTGTAATAACTTTACTATAACTTTAGCACAAAGTTGTACGGAAGTTAAGACACTTATTTTTAAACATTAGCAACGAGGCAACGTATACAACAGCCCAGGTATGATCACTCAACAGTCACGCCGTGAGCGTGTTTGTTTTGCTAGGCCTCTCATACTCTTGTTAGCATTGTGCTTGAACATCTGCATATCTAGTATCTGAGGACATTGCATTCATATATCGTGTAGTGAGTCGCTGCATCCACACTTGCCAGCGTGGGTGAACCAATGCAGAACATGACCTGGCAGTGAGGTGTAGCGTGATGAGCCGATGCGTCGATCCCGGCTCGTTCCAAGCGGTCGTCCATGCAGACCATCGCGGGGGTAGTCGTGGCGTACTCCACCACTAGGGATGGCATCCGCAGGGTATGGGTACAGGTGGAGCTATCACATACCCTTACCCATCCGTCCTGAGTTTACCCATCACCTATACCCATACCCGTCAAGGGTACAATTTTTTTCCATACCCGTCACCCGACAGGGTATATGGGTACCCACGGGTAAAAATACCCGCGTTTACAACACATCAATTGAGTAGAAAATAGTTGTAAAAAGCAATATATAATCATAAATTATTAATAGCAACACATTTTAAACAACAATTTACAACAACATATTGTAACAACAACATATTCTCATAAACAAAAATACTTGACTATAAAGTGACATATAAAAATGTTAAACAACAACACATATGAATATACTTTAAGTTCACCAAATCATGAAAAATTATAGAGATAATTTGAATACACATTAGAGTTTTTACCTAGCGTGATTAGGAGGGGAAATGAATACATTGGGATATTAACGGAAACCCACCTGTCAACATTTTAGATGGGTACATGGGTACGCGGGCATGGGTTATACGATCCCATACCCGTACCCTCTCTACCCGATGGGTATGATATTTTTCCTATTTAAGTATCCATGGGTAATTTTTTGTCCCATACCCTTATCCTAATAGGGTTTTTACCCACAGGGTACGCGGGTAATGGGTACCCATTGCCATCCCTATACTCCACTCGCCTCGCCCTGGATACCACTAT